TGTTCGAAGATTTATTACCACCATTTTTGTAAAACAAATTTTCAAAATAAAATAGTGGCGTCCAGTAAAAAAGTTGAGAAAGGTGTATAGCATGATCTTGGTTTTTATCATCAAATGCCTTTTGACGAGGTAACTGATTTTATCCGAGAAAATGTAATTGAAAAAGGACGGTGTTTTTTTAACTTATCTTCGCGGATGTTATATGGTTTTTTTTTTGAGGGAAGTGAAGAAAAGCAATTTGACAAAATTTCAGAAAATTTCACGCCGCAGCATTTAGAACAAAAATTAATCAAAGAGATATATTTTTTTTATTCATAATAAAATATTATTAGTTCCTAAATGTTTGACTGCCGTAGATAATTAATCGCTCTAGCAATTAAAAGATGAAGATATTTTGCAAAAAGCTGCTACAGTTTTAAGAAAATCAGTTAATCAATGCGAGAAAAAAAATTACCGACCAAGATTTCGACAAAAGATTTAAAACATGGAGAGATTACAGTACCGCGAGAGGTGTTGGATTTTTATTTGACACTCATAGCTGATAGTAATCGAAAAAGAAGAAACAATCCTAAATGTATTCGTCAAGTTCGATCATTCAGTGAAGATATCGTGTATGGAATGTACAACGGAAAATTGAAAACATCAATGCAAATTATGCTTGGAATGACGTTGCAAAGTTTTATAATAAAACAGATTTTCAAAAATATACATACATATAGCGCTCTTACACACAGCTAAATTTTTTTAGCACCCGGGAGGGTGTTTGGCCCATCTGATTTATCCGCCTGTTCAATTATAAGTTTATAATGTTACTCTCAATAACATTTAAAACCCGCGTCTTTGCTACTATGACGTAGGTTGCCTTATTTTGATTTTCTCAAAAACTATTCAACCGATCGGGAAAATTTTAGAACCAGAAAACGCGTCAGATCCGGGGCTATGATTTTTTTTGGACATTTTTTTGATTATATACAGGGTTTTTCAATTATGGACAAAAATCTAAAACTCCGTGAAAATTGTACTTTTCGGGAATAAATAATTAACCGTGAATCAAAACTCCTAAAATGTATGGCCAATCGTTTCCGACAGTGTTATAGGCAGCATCAAGTGTAACAATTTTTGTATTTACGGTTTTCGTCCATCACACACGCTGCTCGGGATATTTGAAAAAATCCATATTGAAATCACTATTTCGGGGGCTGTTATTGAGGTCATTGATTATTACGGCGCACTGCATGGTTTCAGAAAAACCTTATTTTCTCGAAAAGCATTTCCTATTTTCAAAAAATTCTGCCCGAGATATTTGAAACAATCCAGATGAAAATGTAAATCGACCCTGCTTTCAACCTAGCAAGTACCCATACCTTCCTATACATATATTATACTATTCATCTTCAAAATTTCAGCTTTGCTAAAATAACGTAGGTCTGGAGTGCTTGGGATATTGTACTAAAACAATAATAGTCCGAATCAAACCGGAGCGCATCCGGTATGGATATTTACTTATCTCGTATCTCCGCCGCATAGTGGAAATCGACGTCCCAAAATCGGATTATATTCAAAGGAATGTTGCACTAAATTCCCGAAACGATTTCCTTAATCGTTGTTCTAGAAACCGTCTTCTTGTTCTTTTCCTCGGAATATTGCACGAATTTATCGCAAACGTTAAGCCGAAACTAATTTGCAGTAAAACGATTCTTGTACTTTATCGACTGTTTAGTTCGTTCTGATTTATAATTCTCGTAAAATAAATAGGGGAACCGTCGCAGACTCAAAATATTTCGGGGGGACTTTACAAATAGCAACAAATCTTTAATGGCGTCGTTTTTCCGAAAACGTATCCGCGCAATTTCGGCGAGTAAATTTCGAATAAGTTAGCGGTTTGGGCAGAATTCCAACTCGCCCACATTTTAATCTCGAACTTTAAAAACAAACGGCCGAGGTCTGTTCCGCCGGGAGCCGGCGGGGTGGGGGAGAAAACGGCTATCCGATAAATTCTCTTTGAGCTCTTACCACAATTTGATACAAGTTTCAACGAATTTCGACTGCAATATTTTGCCCGCCGGTTTTATTATCCACTAATTCTGGTCCTGTGTCCGGAAGTAATGTTCGAAAGTTTCGAAACTATTAACTTTATAAAGCAGTTACGGAAGGACGTACGGTTAGCCGTGGAACTTTGTTGCTTTGTGTCGCGTTTTCGGGAGTTCATTAAAACGGCTTATTGTAAGACCCGCTCCCACTCGGACTAACGGTCTAATATGTCCACTTTCCCAATTTCTTGTTTCGAATATTATTATTTTTACCGCGATACAATGAAGAACTCGACCAAAAGTTGTTCAAACTTATTTCGGTTGTGCTGCTGAATGAAACCTATTCAGAGTGGTGTATAAAACAAGTCTGTTTTTCATATGAAAGTCTCTTTATTACTTTCGAAAAATTAATGAAATCGATTCTTTTCGAAAGTATACACGCACCTCACTAAACTAGAGATCTGAGAAAATCCAAGAAATCAAGTTCTGTAAGCCTTTATTCTTCATAATTTTCAAAAATCTACAGGTTGCGGCCGGTATTCGGGTGCTAAATCTTTTGTATTTAATATTTTTGTACATTGTACAGGGCGTTCTGGGGATATTTTGTATTATATTAGAAAATGTAGTAGCTGTCTCAGATTTGAAGCTATCGATTTCAAATTTAGAAGAGATATAAAAGTCTATACCCACATCTATACTCTAGAAACTGGGTGCAATCAAATATCGCTAAGTAGTTATCGTTCAGAAAAAAAAAACATTTTCCCGAAAACTATAAACCCGGGCGGCAAAATTCTTGAACCAGTAGACGCAGAAGATCCAGAACTATTACTTTTATTTCCAGCATTTTCTGGATTATACACAGGGTGTTTCGATTATGAACAAAAATATAAAAGACCCAGAAAATTGTCCTTCTTAGCTGCAAAATATGGCTAATTGCTTTAAACGCTGTTATAGGCCACATCGAGAGCTACAATTTTTGTATTCACGGTTTTTGTCTATCACATACACTGTTGGAGATATTCCAAGAATCTAGACGCGATGACGTCATTTACTATTAAGATAAGTATTTTCAAGTATTTTCTTGAGAACATTTACTCAATTGGAAAATTCCAGGCAACGTGGAAGAACGAGGCTTACAACATTGTTTGAATTATATACCGGGTGTGTAGTTTATGGGCACAAAATCTAAAAGATCCTAAAAATTTCCGTTTTTGTGGGTAAATTGTTGGGGATAAATGGAAAACTCTTACTGATGCGACAACTGGATTTGAAGAGTATTATCCACTGTGACGAGAGTTTCAGGTTTTGTCTATCATACAGGGTGCCCGAGATATTTGCAAAAATATCATTGCAAATCACTATTAAAGCTTGCCGTAACTTTGAACTTTAGTGAGACGTTGAAGACAGTTTATACAATAAAATTAGCTCGATTTTGCGAAAGTTTCACTGTGGTCCGCAGGAGTGAGATAAAAAAACAATGCGTCCCTCTAGACGTGATGTGGCTTCTTTTTGAAATACAAAGCTGTTTCGCGCTAAGCACAATTTTTTGAAACTAATCTTGTTTTGTGTTCGCTATACCGGATGTCGTGAAAAAATATATTTCAATGATTACTCCGAAACCTTAATTAATGTATCCAAAAGTAAAATCATTTTCTTTAGGCGTGGCGGTCTAAATCCTCCCGAGGGGAGCTCTTTCCTAAGTAAGAATCCTGTTGAAGTAGTTTTTTGAAGTGGCTTGTTCACTCCGTGTACTCCGAGTCACTCTATATACACTCTATTCGTTCGGGTATTGCTGTTTGACATAAGTAGAGTGATTCCGTTTGCGTTCGATTATACGGGGTGCTATGAACGGAGTTCGCTCCAAAGGTTCTACACCCCAATGGATTTCAGGAGCAAGCATGCCCAAACGTGTCAAAATGGCAAATATTTGCTAGGCGGTTTCGGTTTCGTTTAGAAATTGAATTGATTTTTTTCAATATCTATGTTGGATACTAAAAATAAAAAACTTTGAAGAAGCTCATCAGGTACAACTAATATATATTTTTAGATATATCAATCATATCTGTTCTTTAAACTGTTTATTATGGGCACCTAACTGCTGCAAAGTTTTCAGTTTTTTCAGTTACATTGACTTCTTCATTGTCCTCGTCGTTCAGATACTTTTTTTATAAAACTAAACAGAGGCGCCAATAAAATTATTTTCCATTACTAATAAAAATATATGATAAAAGTAAACTCACAAAAAACTAGTTCTGCCCTTTAAGTACAAAAACAATAACAAACGAAAACAGCTGTATGACGTTCTTCTCCAAAAGTACAGGACCGTTCGAGTATAAAAGTTTATAAAAGACCATAAATGAACGAATGATAAAGGTCGAAATAAAACTAAAATGGTATGATGTAGTGGTTATTGCTGTACGTGCAACGTCAATTGATGACAGAGTTGCACTAAAAGATGAACCAATACGGCTCGGCATAAATTTTAGATGAAATAGGAAATCGAATAAAATTATCCTCTTGGGAGAGTTTAATGCCCCAAAGAACTAAGAAATCCCCAAATATACATGGATACAACAAACACGCCAACTAAAATCCATCATACTTAGTAAACAAAAAATCATGCTCAGAAAATGGGCTACTGAAGGAGATCAAAAAATGAATGAAAATTATTACATCCATTATGGACTCAGTTGAAGCCTAAAAAGATGCTAAACTGGGTGATACCTCAAAAGAGAAAAAGAGGAAGACCGATCAAGACCTAGAAGCAGGGTATTGCAATTGCAAGGCAGCACGGAGTTCTCCAAGTGGGAGATTGGGAGGACAGAAGGACTGGGACTGAAAATATCACATTCACTTACTAAATAACCGCGGTAAATCATCTCGGTTCTAATTATTGGTACTCCCTCGTAGTTATTAGGAATAATTTAGGCGCTTGACCTTGGTCGTGATCTTTTTTAATGCGGAGAGCGACCGACGACTAAAATTTTTGTTTTATCTATTGTGGTCTATGTAGTATCAATCGAGATAACGGACAAATGAACTAACGCGATATTTTAGTGCCGAAAATTTGATCTAGGTGAATGATGAAATCCAAAATTTGTTTCCTGCTTTTCGGCATCTTCGCGAACGTCTGCACCGCATACAACATTCTAGTGATAATGGGTCACCCCGGGAACAGCCACTTGAGAGTTTTCGTGCCGTTCTTTAAAGAACTGGGAGAGAGGGGTCACCACTTGACGGTAATAAGTTACGCGGCAATCAAAGGGAAAAACATAAGGGCCGTTCAATTAGCTGAAGGGCTAAAAGAGGTGATGCCGTTAAACGAAATAACGGGCGCAAGGAGTGAAAAGTATTTCGGGGCGCATCTGCTTTACAGCTTTTCAAAGAGCTACGAAGAAGGACTGAAGAGTAGAGCGTTTCAAGATTTTTTAAAGGAGAATAACAGCTACGATGTCGTTTTGGCAGAAATGTTCAATTCTAATGCGTTTTACGGGCTGGCGAAGAGGTTTGACGCTCCTCTCGTAGGTAAGGTAAACTATTGTCATGGAGACACTTATTGGAAAATGGGCAGTAAAAACCAATTAAACCCGCATTGCAAATTGTCGCGACAAAAATATTAATCTTTTAAAAGCAACTTTGCTTATTCAATGTGCGTCTCGCAACTGCTTGCGTTTGTATAATTTAATTAATAAATTCATTTCAATATTCATTTAATAGCCTTTCAAAATAGCTATAGATTTTTTATATTCTAAATAAAACTTAGGCTATCGTCAAACTTGGATAAATAACTTTACTTTATTTTCCGAGCGCAGTAAAAGGTTTTGGAATTATCTTAGACACCAAACTGTCTTTTGATTCTTATATTGGGTTCTATTGTAATTTAGGAGCGAGAGCTCTAAAAACCCAAAATAAATATTTATTTCTTTTAACAGCATCGTGATATTGATTCTTGAATATTTTTCTACAGTTTGTACCCCTTGTTATGACAAATATATTATTCAAATTTTAGGGGTAAATAATATATTAACCGCTTGTTTTTTCGTTTTACTAGACATAGGTACTTTGTTAGCTATGGCCACAATATGAACTATTATAAAATAGAGGCACTACGATGTCGTACGAAATATGTGGATACAGTTTTTCCATAAAAGTATATTTGTGCCAATGCGCCATAAATATAAATCGTTTTACCATAAGTACGGACAGAAATATTTTATCAAGGACATATATATGTAATTACTTGTATAAACATATATGATTAAAATCATTGGCAAGAAAAAAACGAAATCTCATTTTCTGACAATTTTGACGGTCTGCTGTTCACGAAATATGAGTGCCGAATGATGATAAGGATGTACATAGTGTTTCGATTAAATTTCGTAGTTTATGTAACTCAGGAAAGATTTAAATATAGAAAATTCCGTAAATGTAGACTTTGTTTCACTTAAATTCATGCTTACTCCGATGTTAATAGATTATTTCTATTCTTTAAAAGTATAAAATACTTCTAACATGCCGTGTTTCATTTTTTGAGAAGTATCTTACATACAGGCATTAGTACGTTAGGTTATAGTTTTCGTGCTAATTTTGTAAATAAAAACGACATGCTAGCAAAGAAAATGATTGTTCTGTACCCTATACTCCTCCCACCCCCCAACGCCACTCACCATGTATGCCACTAAATAATGCTCTTACTTTACATATTTTTCCTTCCTTGTATAATTTTTTGTTATAGTTGCGTTTCTTTTATTTTCATTTGCGTTTCGTTTATTGTACACTAATTAATAAATTAAAATTTATACAACACTTTTTAAAATTTTAATTGGTAGTAAGAAAATATTCTAATTAAATAAATTAGGTATTGATAATTAAACAAATTTACATTCAATGTTCTGCTCTTCACCCATCGCAAACTCGCTGTCTCAAATGTCGCACAAGTAGCAAACGCATAAACAGAATATTTCATAAACCTCCAAAACTGAAATGCGGAGGATTAAACTCCAGAGAACGCGCTGAACAGGTGCCCTTTGTCCCTGGCAAGTAAACCGATTAAGGATTTTTTTCAATTATATAAAGGGCTCACATGTGTATTAACATAGAAAGGCGGAACATGTAATTTAAATTTGTTAAATTATTATTAAAATACCTAATTTATAAGACTTTTATTATTTTGTTATTAAAATAAAATAAGCATGCTAATTTTTTTTACTGAATTCTGAAATCCTGTACACTTCGCCAAGGATGGAAATAAGAGAAGATAAATATTGTATTACACCATAAGTCTCTTAAACTTTTGTTCCGTCCCGTTTGCCTAACTAACCAAAACTAAATTTTCTCTCCGTACATTTTTTCTTACATATTTTTTCAAACAATTTTCGTAATGTTTAGCCACTTCTTTGACTTGTAGGTCTTTCCAGTTGCGCAATGCTACCCTGGCACGCGCAATGGTTCGGCTCCTCAGACAACCCTTCCTACATTCCCGTATTATTCATGGATTATCCCGTGCGCATGTCCTTTGCCGAGAGGGTCGAGAATACTGTTATGCTTCTAATGAACAAATGGTGGTGGTATTCCCTAATGGAAACTCCGGGAAAAATTTTATCCCAAAAATATATTGGCGAAGAAACACCTGATCTTTACACCACCAGTCTTTTTCTGGTGAACAGTCATCATACATTGCACGGTGCGAGACCTTTGACGCCGTCTATAGTGGAAGTAGGCGGTATCCACATTGAAAAGGCGAAGAAATTACCTGAGGTTAGTAACTAAATGCTAAGAATTAAATTCACTTTATAACGTTTTAAAACAGTTCCTAATTGGCGGCCTTGCTATGTGGATCTGAATCTTGCTTGGCAATTGGTCAATGAGATCATTATTTCAAATATTTTGCAATAAATCTATAGCGATTGCAAACCAGGAGATTAAAAATTTGAAAATGGATTTTGGATAAGTCTCGACAATCTGCATCTGTTGAGCACCTTTCGGAAACGTCCATTTTATTTTTCAGAATGTATTACAATATAATTCGTAAAAACGTAGCATTATTTTCCAGACGTCATTCTTGTCGTGTACTGAGGAATAGAAAATGTTAGGTCTTTTAAATAAGCTTTGAATGGTCAAGAGATTTGGTTATGGATTCCTTCAAAATGTTATTGGACTTGTTTATAACTACAATATTAATGTCGTTTCTGTCATCCTACGTTTCAGCAGTATCTAACTGGCCTGCAAATTTCTGGTCAGCATAGAGGCCCTTATATCATCTATGTTCTCCTGGGTCGACCTCTTTTCTGTCTTTGTCGTTAATTTAATTTAAATTAATATTTCCTATTGTCTTACTTGGTCTTAGGGGTCTTATCTTTCTGCTTAATAACTAAATAGGTGAGTAAAATTTTATTCTATTATCCATAGAACTTCATTTGACTTTTTTCTTGCACCTGACGTTGGCAAGCACTTTGGAGAACGCGGTTCTGTCTTTGACCAGCTTTAAAAGCTCTCCTGCAGCCTGAACACCAGTCCAATCGCGAATCTACTGGGAGTCATAAAATTTGTTTTCTGCCTATCCCTCGTAGACCATCTGTCCATGATAATCCTTAGAAGAAAATACTTCTCGCCAAGCATCATGTTCCTCAGGTACGCCATCTTTCTGCATTTACCTGTCAAGATGAGCTCTCGGCCCGATCGCGTTCGTCTCAGAACTTCATCATTAAAATCTACTCCTGCAGTCCAGTTACATACACAAGAACAATATAAACGAAGCATTTACTCTTTAGTTGTAGGAGATAAAACTGCCCTTCGATAGTTCTACCATGCTGAATTCTTTTCTTTTACCTCCTTTTCAATGCATTCATCTGTGCTAAATATTGGTATAAACTAGTTAGATCTAATAGTACCCTGATCTAGCAGTAAATTAGATTTGTGACGTGAGCCCTTTGATTTGTTGCTCTGCCGATAATTTTCTACCAATTTTAAATCTGCATGTCACGCCACCATAACTGCTCTAATATATCTGCCTTTGTTTCCATTGTCTGAACTTGATAGCCACAATTCAATTATGGCTATACTGTTATAATGCTTATATGCAGATTTCTGACCAGACACTTTTCATGTCGGTAATATTTTTAAGCTTTAGGTTATCTATCAAACCAATATTCATTTTATTCTCCTTCCTTATACTGTGTTCTATGCGGTTTCTAATTATTTCACTTCAAAATCTTAAGACAGAGTTGGTTACGCTTAGTTCTCTTTCAACTGAACACTGTTTTTTATCACCCTTTTTATGAAGGTTTGTAATATAGGCCGTTTTCTATGAGGTAATTCCTCGCCTCTCATGATGTTATAAAAAAGCCCGAAGTTCAAATTTATTTGCATACATTTGCTCAATTCATCTTCTTTTCGTCTTAACTCCAGCCGAAGTGTATCCACATTGCTACTGTTTTATAAGAATAACCTTACTACTTGAAATTTAGAACTTGGAAAGGTGGATTGAAGAATCTGGCGACGGCGTAATCTACTTCAGTCTCGGGTCTATGATCAAAAGCAATACTCTCGCGGAGGAAACGCGAAAAATCTTTGCCAACGTATTTTCCAGACTGCCCCAGAGAGTGCTCTGGAAGTGGGAGAACGACTCTATGCCGGAGAAACCGAAAAACGTAATGGTGCAGAAATGGTTGCCACAACGAGACGTATTGTGTAAGTTTGGCAATACCGCTTTATTAAATTTAGGAGCGTGTTTTTGCCAGGTAATTCAGTTCGTTTCGTGTTATGATTTCTGAAAACATGTCTGAATAAATATTAAACCTACCGCTTTTAAATATGCAAAATCTTCAGTAATTCAGGTTTCTAAAATGTTAAACTGAGGTGGCTGTTACTTGATGAAAATCCATTTATCAAAATAAATAAGAACTAAAACTTCAGATTTTCACGAAATTATATATTATGACATGACAATTGTTTCGACAACACCGTGTCTTTATCAAATGTTAACATTTGATTTTTTCTAAAATGTTTACTAAGAAGTTAGGATTTTGTTAGTGAAAATGGATTCACTCATATTTGAAAATATTTGTCTTATGATATTAGAATTTTTTAATTCTTTTGGATTGGCTTAATCTAGATCATAAAGAAACAAAACAAATTAAAACAAAATGACAAATAGTGAGATTGAGTGTTCAGATGATACCTTTACAATTCTAAAGAATTCGTAGCACGAAGCGACACTATATAAAAGTGAGTTAAAAAATACGCCCTTGATAAACTATTAGCTTAGACCGAGTTTAGATGTCAACGTGGCTAAAACATCAAATACCGATGGTTTTAGTTTTCCTATTTTTCCAAAAAGTGAGTTGGATTCTATTTTGGAAAATTTTGGTAAATCGCAATTGATCTTCATTTTAGTATATATCTTTTCTTTACCACTGAACCGGGTTAGTCAATAGGCGCGCAAAGGCCATATATCTCAGCAATTATTAGATTAGAATTTATGAAATTTAGTGTACAGGTGTTTCTAACTAGGCAACGCTGCCATATTATCTCATTTTAAATAAAACAGGGAATGTTTTTATTTTATTTTTGGATTGCTATTAAAATTCTTTAATATTAAGTATGTACCCTTTTTTTTGCAGGAATGAGAAAAACGCGATTAATTAATAATTTAATCAATAAACTAGAATTTTATGCAAAACATAATCAGTAATTTTAACGAATTTGTTATAGCATATTATGCAACAAGTTTGGTAGATGGAATTTGAGCCACGAGTTTGTTTGGCACGAGCGAAGCCCGTGCTTCATAAACGAATGAAGAGTTTACCAAACGTGTTCCATACTACAATTTTTCGCGACTGTTAGTTTTTAGGTACATTTATGCAAAACAACCCTAATACACATTCACAGAATTTGCAAACATCAAAACCCAAGCCGTGAGGTAACATCTCCGAAAACATCCGATTGCTCCCAAATCCGCGAGGTAATATTCCGAAAATGTGCGAAGTGGCTAGGGTCCGTTGGAAACGAAACGACTGACGTGGTAAAATTACACTTTCCGCATGCTAGATCAGTGGATAATTGGGTATTTTACAGAAGTGAGTAGAAAAACTTAAATAATAATATAAACTATTTAAAAATAAAGAAAAAAGGGACTTATTTTAATAAAGGTCGGTAAATTCCGGTACGATGTTTTGGGGAGCCTTTTGGGTTCTAGCTTGAATTTCGGCTCTTATCCGCTCTTCGAAGTCTACAGATTTGGAAACATTTGATTCAGGTACTGTTTTACATTTTTTGTACAATGGGGGGGTATCACGTTTTGTTGAAAATCAACTTTGCGTCCTTAAAAGGATATAATATTTTCACTTGTGAGAAAACTGTTATTTAAGTTTACCAATTCGTTAGTTATGCCGATCACAAATAAAATTATAGTTTATTGATTAGTACTGGTTTGTTATAAATTACTAATTAATTATTTTCGTTTTTTATCATTTCTGTGAAAACGGTGAAAACGGAATAAAAGCTTGCCCTTTCGATATAAACAAGAACGTTTGATATCTTACGAAAAAAAAACAAATTTCGCAAAGTCGCCTGCATCACCATTGCATCCAACTTAATTAGAAACCCCCGTATACTAAATCTCATAAATTTAAGTCTAATAACTCCTGAGATATTAATTAATTAATTTTTTGACTCACCTTCTATAATTATAACCGATTGACGACATCAAACTGATCATTTTGATACGTACTTTCGTTAGTCGCACTCAAAATAAAGGACAAAAATAAACAATAAATATAATTCAGACAGATAGTCAGAACAGAGAAGCATCACTTTGTCTCGTTAGAAAGTAAACATATTGCCATTCGGAAGAGCCAATTATATTTTATGTTTGAGAGAACTTTGTTGCTCTTTTTTGTTCTTCGCTATCCTTGGCGTCGCGTATATTAGATGTGATCCCGTAAGTAATTGGAAAAACGGTAAGTAAACTTCAGTCAAACAAAGAACTCGCAACTCGCCTGGCTGAAACCGTCGACAAACATATGGCTTCCGTTCCAAATTGAAAGAATAATAGGCTTTGAGAGTGATTGAATGCAACAATTTTTCATTTTCTATCTACATTATTTTTCTGAGCTGCGTAAGGCATCGTCTTCGTCTGATAATTTTCTTTCTATGCGCAGGTCATCCGAACGTTAAGGCCTTCATAGGCCACGGTGGACTGCTGGGAACTACAGAGGCTATCCACTGCGGGGTACCCCTGATTATAATGCCTCAATTCGGAGACCAACATCTCAATGCCAAAGCGGTTGAATCTCAGGGCGTTGGTGTTATTTTGCAGCTTCACGACACGAATGAAGAAAAACTTTCGAATGCCATTAACAAAGTCTTGAGTCCCGAGTAAGTTAATCTTACGATGTAGTATTGATCATTCAGCACGCTGTTTTATTTTCTCAGAATCTCCCGTCAAACGAAAGCGTTATCAGAAAGATTCAAGGACCGTCCACAGTCACCTATCGACACAGCAATATATTGGGTGGAACATGTGACAAGACATAAAGGCGGGTACCACATGAGATCCGCCGCCATTGATCTGCCGTTTTACCAGTACTTTTTATTTGACGTTGTCGCGTTCTTAGCCGTTTTAATCTTGACGTTCGTTTACATTGTTTATTTAAGCTTAAAATTTTTTCTTAGTTTTCGTCCTAAAACCAATGTTAAACAAAAAAGCTCCTAGAACCAACGCGATGTATAGCAAAACGTTACAAAATTATTTATTTTAATTATTATTTGACTGGAGACAACCGGCATTAGCTTATAATTGTGATAACTGAGCCGTACCAAATGATAATTAAGCATTAAAAAGCAAAATATAATTTAATAAGTGATGCTGAATCTATATTCTATTCGGTTTAAATCGGATTCAAAAACGTATATTTTTTAACCACAACCGAGCATCTCATTGTCAAAGTGAAAATCACGATACCTATCAAACAAGCTGACATTGCCAAATTATCGGAACATGTTTACGTCAAAAATATTTATACAATACTAATCAACAATAACATTCAGTTGTGTGGTTATCTCTCTAGGTGAGCCTTGTTTACAATTGCAATTAGTTTGTAACGACAGCACGAATCCTAGATGGTTATTAATTAGGTCAGACGGCAACCGACCTGTATAAATATAAAAAGGTTCTTAATTACTGTAATTTGATGATTTTTAAATTTAGATTTAACAAAGGTGGTCCACTCAAATCCAATTCATCATTTAGTAGTAAATAATAAATAAATAACTTTAGGTTATGACTATTAGATACAATATGTGAAATATCAAAATTGTATGAATTGTCTAATTATAATCCAAACATACATTTTATGTTCGTTAATGGTTCTCTTGAATGTTCTACTTCAAAACTGATGACTCCGCATTTTTGAGTTATTTGTGATTTAGCTTTAGGCGCTTTAAATGTTTTTCTATGGTGTTTTCAGTTTTAAAAGCAATCCTAAGGTCACATTAAGGAATATAGGGTGAAGGACGTTCTAAGTTACTTGGAAACATTTTTTAGTTATCGTATTATTCAAAGTTATTTAGTTTAGAATATGTAATTATTTTTCTTTTTAAGCAGTCGGTGGATAAAAGAATGAATAGCGGCCATTTTGTGTGGGTAAGGCTGATTTCACTTATATGTTGCTGTGTTCGTATGTGATGTAACTAATTTTACAAAGAAATTTCCACAGGCTTACTCTAATACTATCTACAAAACTTCTGAATTCCTCCTGGATTCTACTCTATACTCTACTACTTCTATATTGTTCGAAGGGGACAGGCATGAACACTGTCCGGATAACTGATTAGTAGAATGTGAGCCAGTTTCAATTAAGCTCTGAAGAAGCCAACAGGATGATTGGACAACCGTCAGTAAGTTTGACTGTTAAATCCAACAGGCTTGTTAACAGGATTATGGAACTAATTGATATTATTGAAAAAGATCTATAGTGGTCTTTCAATATTTTCTAAGTTGTTCATGAAAATTTCTGCAAATAGTGGACGGTTTCCCATAATAATTATTCCTCTTTTAGGGATACAAAATTAATCCTCAAATTTTAAAGAATTTTGCTCTAAACAAACTATTTAATATCTATTGAACAATGTTTCATGGTGGGGTTAGTTTGTTTCTGAGTAACCCATTATGTTTATTACATGGGAAATAGAGGGCGCATTCTAATGTCTTTAACTTTGTTGACTAATGCCAAATAATTTTTGATCACAAATTTAGGTTTGAAGGCAGTGTGTACTACTACAATCATAACTGCAATTACTGTAATCAATAAACTGTCAATATTTAATATTACTTTATATAAAACTTCTGGTGTCCTCGTGCGTCGGTTTTTGTTAAGTCAAACTAGCTGAGGTTTCGTCAAACATCCTGTTGGCTTCTTCAGAGCTTGACTGAAACTGGCTGGCATTTTACTCTGTACCTGCTTGAGGGGAGCCGAGCTAAATGAGGGGCATAAACACCGTCTCGGATGACTGATTCCCATATTGGTGACACGTAGAGACCTGAGTCGCAGTTAAGATTGTTAGGTTGCTTATAGATTTCTATAGACTATCTGATTTTTCGTTGGTAGATATATATAATCTAGTCCCTTTCCACCCGTAGGGTGTAAGGGTGACATTTCTGCATGCAATTTAGCTATCGATAAAAAGTTTCCAGTCTTTTCCGTTTAGTGCCAAGTTTTTAGCTTCTATCCATGTTCGTCCCCTTTTTTTGCAAAATCTTTCCCAATGTGCTGTCCCGCGTTTCTCTGGGTCTTCCTCTTTTCCGTTTTCCCTGCATTTTACTCTGCCAAACTCTTTTAACCGGTACAGTGCTGCCCAATCTCTGTAAATGGCCCCACCAGCCAAGTTGTTTCTTTTCAATGAATTCTTGTATGGATTCCACCTTTAACTCTTCTCTTATAAGTGCATTTCTAATTTTGTCCCTTCTGGTTATTCCTTTCACTCTCCTCAAGTATTTCATCTCTGCTGCTCCAATTTTGCTCTTGTCCCTATCTGACAATATCCAAGATTCGGAGCCATATGTAAGGATCGGTCTGTAAATTGTTTTGTAAACTTTCATTTTAGTTTCCTTAGAAATTTCCTTTTTATTTATGAGTCCCGTACTCAATGCATAGTATACCTTATTTGCTTATTTTCTATTCTATTATTTAATTCTGTGTCCTGTCCTCCTGTTTCTTCGAACATAATTCCCAAGTACTGGAATCTACTAACTTGTTCTATTAGTGTTCCACGTATTCTCACCTCTAATTTCTCTTTTTCGTTTGACACTTTGGTTTTATTTCTGTTCATTTTCATTCCGTTTTTTGTTAGAATCTGATCTCAATTATTTAGATTTTTCTCCAGATCCTTCGAGGTTGCTGCTATGATCGTTATATGAACGGCGAAGACACATTCCGATATGTTGGATACGCTCTAATTGTCGGTATCCAACGTGAAGGTTTTTTGATCGCTGTTCTGCCATTCTACTTAAATCGTCCATAAAAGTTATGAATAATAAAGGGCTCAAACTACCCCCCCGTCTCACTCCTTCTTGTGTTATAAATGCCTGTGATCTCATGTTCTTACTTATTACGCAATTTGTTGTTTCGTTGTATAAACATTTAATAACTCATAATAGTTTATTGTCAATGTTTCTGGCTTGTAGGCTTTTCCAGATTTTTATTCGCGGTACTTTATCAAATGCTTTTTCCATATCTAAGAATGCCACGTATATTGCTTTAGATCTTGCCAATTTTCTCGAAATTATTTGTTTTAAAGTGAACATGTGATCTTGGGTACTTCTGCCTTTCCGGAACCCACATTGCGTTTCTGTTAGGGTTGGTTCTACTTTTGATCGTTGGTAGATGAATACCGAATAAAATTTTATGTCCTGTTTGGTGATTGTGTTCGGCAACTGCTGATGAGTTTATTTGTCTGTCTTAATGCTCTTTCATGTTCTTTGAGCCTAGTTGATATTTTTCGTCCGGTCTCTCCAATGTATTCTTTGCCGCATATGCATGGAATGCTGTAAACTCTCAAAATCTCAAATGGAATTTGGTCTTTGACGGATCGAAGTTGTTGAGAGATTTTTGGACAATTGGTAAATCTGGTTTTGATGTTATACTTCTTTAGAACTTTTGATATGTGGTCAGTGATGTTTTGAATGTAAGAAAGGACAACAGTGGCAAGTGAGGGATTACTTTCGGCCTTATTGCTGTTGGAAGGTTGCGTTGAAGTATATTTTGTGATGGAATGCTTGATATCTTTAATGTGGAAATTATTAGAGAGAAGAGCAGAGGTAAGGTGTTTTAATTTTGGATTCAATGACTCACGCTGAGAGTTTTACGGCTCTGTAAACAAGAGAGTTGATAACCGATTATTTTTGAGCCGGATGGTGATGTGACAATGCATTAAAGTATCGGTCTGTAAACGCAATGACCCAATGTTAGGTCTGATTTTCTATCGATAAGAATATCTAAGAATAGGAGAATGTTATTAGTTTCTATTTCAATGGTAAAAAGTATATTTTATTTGGTGAGTCGTGTTCCGCAAGTTCCTTTTTCGATAATCCACTTGAAGAAATGTGACATAATCGCCACAATTTTGAGACCAAAATGGTTATAATGTCTGTAATGTCTGACTTTCGGTAGTACTTTCAAAGTTCGAGTGCCGTTGTTGGGAAATCCAAATATTTTTAAGTAATGTAAATATTATCACTAACTGGAAGAAACAGTACGAAATTTAAAGTTCCGCAATAGTTAAAATTAGTTTAAAAATAGAACATTCTAACACGATGTTTATTCCTGAATAAATAGAGAATTTTTTGGGAAGCAAGCGATTTTCTCTCTTTTCATGTCAATAACAAATAAATATTTCTTCGAGATAAATAAGTTTCATTTGTGGAAGAGACATATCGGTATCAAATGCACTGGACGGTTTACACTTGGAATAGTTGCGATAATATCTTAATTTCAGCATTGACACATCTAGCACGCTGCCTGGAGCATTTACAGGTACGCCACATTCAGAGTAAATAAACAATAACTCGATGATTAAAATTGTCTTCTGTTGACATTTCCGTTGTCGATAACCGACGATCCTGTGACAGGCCGAGCGCGTTCATTGTCGGAAGTCTCGTGATTTAATAAGGAAGATGTATATTGTCGTTGACATCTGTGAGATTTTATTAAATTCCGGCTGATAAAATTCTTGACTGAAATCGACGCCATTGCGCTTAATCAATTGTTTTAAAATTGGAGGGGACCCTGTCGAATATATTTGATTACTAAGTCAGTCTTCGAAGCAATTTGCTAATCGCCTTTTCAACATTTTAATAAATAAAAGCATGATTTTTATTTCATTCATTTCTTCTCAGTAATGATACTTGGTTTGTTTCTATTGTTATATAGAGAAGTCTAAATGGATGGCAATGCGAGATCCTCATGGCGAATTAATTAGAACAGTAGTGGTGGTGACACCATGCAGGTATAATGGGCATCCATTTGTGGACGAACATTTTTTGCCGTGCATATGTGGATGTTTAGGCAAATATTGAAAAGTTCTGCAAAATCTGCTGGAACATGAACGCATGCATGCATTCATTATATTAATAATATATATTATTAATGGACTAAACGTTGGAAAAAGTTTTCATGCATTTTGTTCGGCATCTGGCAATAGTTGTTTCCATCCTCTTCCTCCATATTCTTCAATTAAAACGCATATAACTAAAAACTCTAAATATCAAGCTAATTAATTTATCATTTTCAACTATACCCAATTTCGCCTAATTTCAAATTGAGTCCAATATAAAGAAGTTTTAATAGTAGATTCTGTTTTATCTATGGCTGTTGCTTTTATGCTAAAACTAGTATTTAGCACCGGCTTGGTCAATCCGCTTTTATTGCGATCTGACATCATCGATCGATTAAAGGCAAACGATTCTCCATTGCGTGTCAAAATGTCTTACGTACCGGAATCGAACTC